ACGCCCTGGCCCCCTGCCCCTCCCGCCGAGGGGACCCCGCCCCCTAGTGCTAACCCGGCCCGTCTCCCCAGTGCATGGCTCCTGGACGCCTTGGTCTCCCTGGTCCGACTGCCCCGTCACCTGTGGCAACGGCACCCACGTCCGCACCAGGGCCTGCATCAACCCGCCACCGCGCAACAATGGCTCGGCCTGCGCCGGCCCCGAGGCTGAGGCCCAGGGCTGCGCTGCCCGGCCCTGCCCAGGTGAGTGGCGCCCGCCTGGGCTGGGTGGGGGGCCCGGAGCCCCCGCCCCTGCTAACACTCTGTCCCCTCCCGCAGCGGCCGAGCGATGTGACTGGTCGGCCTGGAGCCCCTGCTCACGCTCCTGTGGCATCGGCCTGGCCACGCGGACGGGGACATGCGCCTGCCCCAGCCCCGAGGGGCCCAGCGCCCCCTGCAATGACAGCGCCCGCCAGGAGGTGGAGCCCTGCTACCTGCGGCCGTGTGAAGGTAGGGGCAGCCCCGGGGGACGGGAGGGCGGCGCCGGAGCCAGCGTGCGCTCAGCCTGCAGTGGTGCCCCCATCTGGCCTGCTCGGGGCGGGGTGCCCTGCATGAACAGGAGCTCGTAGGACGTGGTGTCGGGTCCACGGGGTCGGGGCTGGCCTTGGAGGAGTCCCGTAGTGCGCCCCACCCCCACGGAGCCGGGCTCTGGGGAGCCTCGTCCACTCCGCAGGGACCGACGCGCCCAGGGACCTGCAGCGCCCCGCACCCAGCACAGGCCCAGCCGCCGGGTTTGTCAGTCACCTGGCGCACGGCCTGCGGGCCCCGGAGCTAGCCCGGAGGGTCAGTTAGAGCAGAGCCCGTGTGGCCAGCCCAGCGCCCAGCTACTGGGACTCTGTGGGCAGGCTCTGTCCCGCGCCGAGCTCCTTCCCGCAGGTCACTTCTCGCCAGCCCTTGTTCTCGGGCTGGGTCTGTGCCCAGCGTCCCTGGGGGTGGGGGGAGAGGATCCTCATTCTGGGCGCCGGGTGCCC